CATTTGCTCTTTTGCCTCATAGCTCTGCTGCCCCTTAGACACGGCATCGCTAAGCACAATAATATTATACTCATTGGCTTTGACCAATTGTGATTTATCTCCTGGGATGCGGGAGAGGACTTCCAGATTGCTTAAATTCATTGCTTAATTAAAAATATGATTGCGTATATACACACTATATATGTACATGTATACATGTACACACACGGGACCGCATTCACATGTGTGTGTATATCTTTCTTCCTTCCAGAGAAAGAGAGCAAATGACTGTGAGTTGGTCTTAGGTCCCAATTTACAAATGATACAAACTCCTGAGTATCTCTGAAACTTTTCATCCATTCTTTTTAATATCCAGGGATGACTAGAGTATTTTTTTCCCTTTCATATTCACTCCTGACCTTGTTGGAGCACAGAATTATTTCTTGTAATGTGACTAGAGTCCCATCAGACTGGCCCCCTGTACGAGCTTTCTGCTGATGCACAATGAATCCCCACAAGCTCTGTAGTTCAGCAGAGCTTGACGGCGCATGATGTATGACGGCGCAGATTCCATGGGTCAGACCCAGGTAAGGGGCCCTCAGACCTCCCAGGCTGCGTCATGGTGTTGGCCGCTGTGCCTGTGCCTGTGGCTTCGGGGCTTCTCGCCAGCTCTTGGGTTATTGGCAGGGTTCATTTCCGTGTGGCTCCCAAAGGTTGTTCCTCTCCACAGGCAGTCAGTTCACAATGGGGCTGTTTATTTCCTCCAAGCAGGCGAGAGGGCATCTTTCTCTCCAGGAGTGTCTCCCTGCAGCCCGCTCAGTGGAGTCTGATTGCATGTGATCTGATGAAGGCAGTGACTGCCCCGTCGCAGCTACAAGCCTGCCGGTGCTCAGGGGGAGCCAGGGCATGTGACGGGGCAGCGGGGGTGGGGCGGGGAGGATGGGGTGGGTGTCTCGGAGCCACCGCAGAATTGTGCCTACCATGTGCCATGTCTTCTATGTGGAAGCTTTGGGTTGTTTGTTGTTTGTTTTCTACTAATCATTGGTAGAAGATTCTCACCTTTATTTTTAGTGCTTTATGTACTACAGTCTGATAGGTCTTTCTCCAATATTTTTTGAAAATAACATTATTTTCAATCAGAGGCAACTGACCTCCACAGCGTCATTCTCATTATCACACCTTTCCAACAACCTGTCGCGCACGTCTCGTTCACTGACGGCTTACTGTAGATCTCAAAAAAAATTCTATAGCGTTATTTTATAAACACGAGTTTATAAGAAAGAAATGTTTTCCCTACACTAATTTTCTAATAAGTAAAAAGCAACCGCAGGGCAAGACGGGTAGAGGGAGGTAGGAGAGACTAAAGGGGGGTGAATGGTGATGGAAGAAGACTTGAATTTGGGTGATGAGCACACAATATACAGATGATATATTATACAGTTGTATGCCTGAAACCTATAGAATTTTATTAACCAATGCAAGCCGAATAAATTTAATAAAAATATTTTTAAGAAGAGAGCACATTGAAAGTACTATATTAAGACACTGCAAGAAATATAAAGAATCATAGAACTATTTGCAAGTACTCAAACAAGTTGTAATGTGGTTCAGAAAGATGGTAGAATCACTGAAGTTGACTACCAATAAAATATTTAAGTGGAAATTTAAGCCAAGAATGGAAGCCAAGTCACGAGTCTGTAAATTATTAATTGTCAAATTAATCCTAGGGGCCGTATGAATTCAGAGGAGAGTGTTGGATTATTTTTTGCGGTGACTCCACCTACCCCACAATGTGGCAGCTTACAACCACAGCAGAATGTTTACCCCTCACAGCTGAGGGGGCAGTTCTGGCAGGGACCCCAGGCCGCTCTGTTGCTGCAGGGGCATCGCCAGGGCCATCGTGAGGTACTCGGCGGGGGCCTGGCCTTGTCCTCAGGCTTCAGGAACAGTCCCACACAGAGCTGGCCCCTGCTTCTCCTTGGCCGCTCTCCTCGCCCCTGGCATCTCCCTGTCCTGGACCTGCCACACGGCCTGTGCTCCTCACGGCCACGCATCCTATCTCTTTCCTTGCTCCTGTCTCGTAAGGGTGAGGAGAAAGGAAGTGGGCCATCTCGGTCTGCACCTGGAAGCTCACACCATGTGACTTCAGCAAGATTCAGCGGCTCCCAGAGCCCACGCAGGGGGAGGCACAGAGACCCGGGACCCTCCTTCCTCAGCACACTCATGTCGCACATTTAGGCATCAGCACATTTAGGGATGTGTGTGACTCACCATGGAGGCAACGGCCAACTTGGACCAGAAAGGCCAGAAAAAGCAATAGAAAAGAGCACTTGAAAACAGTGGATTAAGGATATAGCTACATACATCAATATCTAAATACTAATAGTAACGATGGGGAAAAGACTTCCAAAATGCGTAGCAAGACAAGGATTCTATTTTCTTCTTGACTTGTTTTGCTTTAACAAAAAAAATGACATTGGGAATTAGCCTCCACTTGGGCAAGTCATTTTTTTTCCTGTTCACAAAACAGGCTAATTCAACCGAAAAGATGATTTCCCTGGACGTGAGGTCGGCTTACGGGAAGCGAGATGAATCTGAGCTTAAGGATTTTATAGGACTAATTGGGGAAGGCTGGTCAGAGCTCCTTAAAGCTCCCCGAAGGCGCTGGGAAAAGGGAAGTAGGCAGCGCGGGCTCTGGAGCCGGAGCGGGGCAGCACCCCAAGGCTGTGACTCAGCAGCCCATGACCAGGCACTTGGGGTTCAGCAGGTGCTGAACCCTGAGGTCCTGTGAGGCCATCACGTTAAATGGCTAGTCCTTCTGGGTCTCTCATGAGGCTTTGCTCAGAAAGCCCTAATCATTATAACCATAATCTTCTGACTGAGCAGAGGCTCTTCTTAGACTTGAAATTTATAGATAAGTAACTCTCTGGATTATCCATCCCTGTGTATGTTTAAGCCGCGTGAGGTCCATGCAGCCTATTCTGAACACGGTGACTGGTGCTTGGTAGACATTTAACAGTGGCTGACGAACGCTGTCACCCATATTCTCTCAACACCGATTAAGTAACGTACATTCGCGCTCACAGTTTTGCCCATATAATATGAAACCAGAAACAAGAGACTATCTTAGTAATGCGTACCAATTAATGAGCCATTCCTGCCTGAAGTCAGCATAGCCCTTATTTAGCATTGAATTTTTTTTTAAATGTGTGTGTGATGATTTCTTTTAATCTTTCTTTCTTCCTTTTTTTTTTTGGACATGGATATATTTTGAATTTATGAATATCTGCCCTGACATCCAAAAGACAAAGGGAGAGGAAACAAAGCTCCTGAGAAATACTTAAAACACACACACACACACACACACACACACACACACACCCCTCTTTTAATGTGTTACCTAATAGCTCTTGGGGTCCTGCTGGCCCCTCCTGGCCCCTCTCCCCAACCCTCCCCCACCTTCCCGCCCTCTAGGCAAAACTTTCAGAGGCAAAGGTTCGGTCACAAAGGAAAGAAGTCTTTATTCAATAGCAGTCACTTCAGCCTATCAAGTCACAACTTTATTACCTTAAGCCCATCAGTTAAAGCCAAACTCTAACACCAAGTTCTAGTGGTTTCCCTGTTAGTTTTTAGTTATCTTTTTTCTACAGGGTTGGTTTATGACCTTAAACAACATAAGGTACAAAAACTACACAATGTTGGAAGAATGGCCGGCTTCTGCCCCAGAGCCCGTCCCCTTTGGAACGGCCAACGGATAACCTGCCCCTCTGCCAGGCCAGCCTGATCCCAGGCTGTGCCCGAGTTCCTTCCCATCCGAAAGACCTCCGTTGGGAAACGCAGGCAGCTGCAGCTCGGTCATCCAGGGATCCTGGAGGAAGGAGAGCCAGAGAGAGAGCCAGCTCAGGGGCCAGACCTTTTCTTATTTCCGTTGGCTCTGGAGGAGTCAGCTTGTCAGCCAGTCCTGTCCTAGTCCTAGATCGCCCTCAACCGCCTGGGCAAACTCCTCCTCCGGCGCCGCCCCTCCCCCTTCTCCCCAGGGGTCTGAGTTATCTTAATCAGATCTCTCTCTGTCATTATAGCAACCTGGGGAATCATCAGCTCCTACTAGTCTTCTATGATACGATGGAGATTCTCCCTCCCCTCTCTGGCAAAGCCGTAGCTTTGAGTTGTTTTATTTTATTTGGTGGGGAGCACTGAAAATTCCAAGTTACAGCCTGGCTGAGTAAATAGCACTATAAACAGTGTTCAAGTCTGACTCAGGTCAACAGCTTTGCACAGTTGACAATAGCCAGTTTTGGTGGTTTTTGCTTCTGGAGCTCCAGGTGGCTCCTCAAAACCTGTCAGGCCAAGGGAACAAAAGGAAAAGAAAAGCAGACACACTCCAGGGCCTCGGGACTCTCAGTCTGGAGAGAACTGGCTAAGCCTTCGGAGACTGGAGCAGACGGCGTGTGCCACCTGTACCCAGAGCAAAGAAAGACCAGGCCAGGGCACAGGGCAGCTGGATAGCGCCTCTTCTAGGGCAACCAAATGTCTCCTTAATAACCCAGGCACTAGGGGAGCAGCAAACCTTTCTCCATCCTCTCATCTGTCCCATCGAAGTACAGACACGGACCTGCTTCAAATGAGCTTCAGAGAATAGTCTGCAGACATTATAGTATGTTATAAGGTAACATCGTTAGATATATATGGTTAGTATAGAGTTAGTTTCAACTTTTGTCCCAGCAGATGGGTTAGACAGGCTTAGACAGACATCGCCTGCCCCGCGTCTGCAGCAAGCTCTCTCCCAGACCTGGACCCCACAGCCTGGAGGAGGCCGCCCTGGGCAGTGGCCACCGCACATCCGGCGCCTGCAGCGAGCGAGCTCCGGGGGAGGAGGGCAGGACGCCTGGCCCCTCCCACTCCGCCTGTTCTCGCGCGCCCGGTCCCTGGGATTGACACCGGGCGCCGGGCCACCTGCGAGTGCGCGCGGGGACTCCAGGCATCCACGGCACCCGAAGATCGCCCTCGGCGAGGACCGCTCGGGACCCGCCGGCACCATGCGCGCTCTCTCAGGCCTGCGGGGGCCCGGGGCGCCGCCGTCGCGGCCGCTGCTCTTCCTGTGCCTTCTGGCTGCCGTGCGCCCGAGCTTGGCGGACGGCCAGCCCCCAGGTGTGACGAATGAAGGACCGAGCCGGGGTGGAGGGGGGCGCAGGAAGGGGCGCGGGAGGGCGGGCGCCGCCGTCGGGGGGCATGGCCGGCGCGGGGGCACGGCGGTGGGGAGCGGCGCGAGGATGCTGGCGACATCTGTGGACAGCGGCGGCCGCCGCCTCCCGTTGGCCACGCTTGAGTTATCCAAGTCTGACGAGGGGACTGCGGCGGCCTCCGTTATGGGTGGTAAATCTGGAACCCACAGTCCCCCCCGCGACTCGGGGGTGTCGGCAGTAGGGCAGTGTCTCGGTGTTCCTGAGAAGAGGGCGTAGGGTGTCGGGGCGCGCGTGGGCGGACGCAGGGAGAGACCGGCCTCTGCAAAGGTGACCGTATCGGAAAGCACGCTCCCCAACGCCAACTCCCTTCGTTTGAATTGATAGTAAGGCTTAAATAGCACTTACTCTCTCCCCGGCAGGTGGGTTGGCTTTGAGGATGTGGAACAATGCCAACCCGCCGACCAAACAAAGCCTCACAACGCAGAACGCCTGCAGTGTATTCTTTTACATCATGGTCTTGGGCAGTGAAGTTTTTTGTGGTGGTGTTGTTAAAGACACTTTGGAGAAGGGATTTATGGGCAAAACGTTATCAAAAACACCACCAAATTTGCCATTTTTAGCCTCACCTGTTTATAATTACTTTTTGTGGTAAAGGTATTCCCTCTAACCTATTTTCTGAGGCACACTCCTGCGTTATAAATTGCAGTGTTAGCTGCCAGGTAGAATAATAGGCTGCCTCTCAAGTTGGCAAATACTGTCCATCATTTCACTAAAATCGGGATATTATGCTACCCAGGGTTTTTAGTTTTTCATAGGGATTCATTTTATGGGCCTATAGATTTTTCATCATATACTACAAAGATGGAAAGATAATCAAAGTATATGACCATTTTTTTTTTAATAAATATTCTCTAAGAAGCCTAGTTGTTCACAACATGGACAAAACATTCGAGTTGCTTCCGTTTCTAAATTTCCTCGCCCACGTCTCTTTTTTATTCACGTCCCCTGTGAAGAGTTGGCAAGGACATTTTTCCTGCTCAGGCTGCCCTTGGTTCTTTGGTCCCTTTGTTCACCCCAGGATATGGCAGATATGAGGACCCCCGCACTCTGGGTTGGTCCCAGGACTTTGGTTCTCGACGTGGCTGTGTGTTGGCATTCCCGGGCAACTTAAAAGTGCTACCTGGCATATGTCCTCAAAAATGCTGATTCTGCTGGCCTGGGATTCAGCCGGGACATCAGGGCTTTGAAAATCCTCTGTGGCTTTGATTATGTAATCTGAAGCAGGTTGCAAACCACTGCTTTAAAATGAGGTGGCCCAGGGGTTGCGCTGTTGGGTAGTTGCTTATTCTGTTGGCACCAGGGAGCCGAGTTTAAATGGATGTTCAGAGTAGACTCCTAAAGAGAGAAAAGTAGGAAACAATCAAAAGTGGAACGCATTAGCAAATGAAGTATATGTATGTATACATTGCCAGTGATGTCCTTTTAGCTTCTCTATGGAAGAATGTGCCATTTAAAAAAGGCATGAAATTAGCATCTAATTTCAAGGAAGACTTAAAAGTTGTCAGGCAACCCCGTCTTGTTTTATAGATTCTGTATTGATAGCCATGAGATTTGAGTTTCCTGTTTCCTGAAGGACATTGTGAAGTTTACTGCTTTGCTTTTTTTTTTTTTTTTAAAAATCTAGGTGCTTTGAACTACTTAGATAAAGGTGTTGTATAAACCAAAGACTTAGGGCCAAATTTTAATATTACAAAATGGTTGCGGTTTTTTGTATTTATTAGGTAACAGCTGTGGCATTTTGCAGTTTATAGTGCAGTGTGTTGGCTTTCATGGACCCTGACTTGAGATGGGGAAATTGGAACTTTGTGAGGTTAAATAATTGCCCAAGCACACATAATTAAGTAGTAGAGCAGGTCCAACTCCAAAGCTTGTTTTCTTGGACACAATACTCAGCCGTTGCTCTGAGATAACTGGGTATGGCTATGACAGTCTGGGACAAACGACACACAGAGCAGTGTGTGTTGTTTGGAGCTGAAGTGCTTGCTGGCAGAGTGTGGGTCCTGGAATTAAGTTAGGCACAGGGGTTCGCCATAAGTCTTAGGCTGTTTCAGTTAAATAAGAAATGCAAAATATCTTTGTAAAGGAGACATATGACTTAAATAGGCATATTCAAACATCACTGTTATTACTATGTGAGGGAACAAATCAATCAAGAGAATGGGTCATGTTTATCCTTTAAAAAATGTTTGCCGGGCAGTAATTTGCAATGGACATACTGAACATCTGGAATGACACAGCCCCAGGGCTGTGTTTGTGTGGGTGTGAGTGGGTGTGGGTGTGTGTGGGTGGAGTTTCAGCTCGGCCTGCCCGATGCATCTGGGGCTTCTCTGCTGGGAGCACACTTAGCACCACACCCTGGTTCTAAATCCCCTGCTTTCCTCCGGGTAACTAGGACTTCTGGGAGGAACGGCTGGTTTGGGGACTGGGGTGGGGGAAAGGATAAGATAAGCCTGTAAGATGCTGTACCAGAAAGCAATGAGGTGCTCAAGGAATGGTGGGCCGGGTCAAAAGGATACAGCACCAGAGTGAAGGACAAAGCCGGCACAGACGGCCCCTCTCACAGGCGTTAGTAGCCGCGGAGCAATGCCCACTGGGTAATAACGGGACATACTGATAGAGCTATTTAAATGAATCAGGTGAAAATTTGACAAGGCCCAGAGTATGCCATAGTTTCAACGTCACTTCACACAAAATTCCTACTAATGAAAAGGAAAAAAGAATAAATGTATAGAGGAGAACCCTGCCTGATATGCCCTTAACCAAATGATCAAAGTGAAAAATATCAATGAAGAGGGAGATAAAAACCACGTGCCACCCGACAGGATGCAATGAGCACACAGCCCCAGCTGCGGGGTTCCTGCTGGAGAGGTCTACTCTGGTCCTCACCATGTGACAACGGCACCAGGCCGCTACATTCCCAAGTATCAAGGCCCTAGAAGGCAGGCGAGACGGAGGTTGTTCAGAGCGAAGGAGGAGAGAGGGACGTGGCCGCGAACGGCCACACGTGGCTCTGAGCTGGCGCCTTTTGCTAAATCGTACATCTCAGCAAAAGGACGTTTGTGGAGGCCCAGATGAGGCGGCAATGCATAGACAGGCTGCCCCGACTTCACGGCAGCGCCTGGCGGACCTGGGATCCTCAGCAGGAAATGCGCGTGGCGTTTTAGGGGGGACCGGGCCCTGGGGCCACCCGCTTATTCTCGAAGATTCTGTCTCTGAAACTGTGCTGTTAGTGTGAGATTGTGTGACAAGAAGCAAAAGGAGTTTCACCTCGTTCTGAGGATGTCTGACATTGAACCGCAGGACTAGCTGAGAGGTGGCCCTCAGCGTGTGACATTAGGTTCCGATTTCCAAAGGAGTGTGTGTCCCGGAACAGTGGCGAAGCGCGTGGCGAGGAGCCCGCGCGAAACGGAATCCTGTGGCGTTCCCTCTGTGTACAGGCCTCACACTTGAGAACATTGCCCTTCGTAGCATTTTATAAACAGAGAAATAAACAGGTGAGGACTCCCACATTGACACGGGAAAGGAAACCTCACAATGTTCATTAAAAACAATCTCTCTGTCCCTAATAGTAGTCGCTGTTTGCGCATACGGAAATATCTCACATAATGTGCTGTTGGTACAGAAATAATCGGTGTTAGCTTTAAAAATGGTGTTATTCTTTGAACTGAAAATTATTTTTCTGGCAGTTTTAAAGTGACTGGGGTTATGCCATTGCTAATGTAGCCCTACTCCCAAGACAGAATCTTTCTTTTTTTTATAGCCTTATAATTACTTAGTCCTCGGGTCCAAAAAGGAATTTAGATGTGATATTTGATTGGCCTTGAAGCCTGAAGTGCTTTTTCGTGAAGCCAAGGGCCTGGAGCTGGCAAATAACTGTGACTGGCTTCCTCTTTTGCATTTCAAAATTCCATCCCGCCATGGGTGCTTTTTCCGAAAAGGTCCTCAAAATTGGGCCCTATCAGAAGGGACGGCGGGGAGCTGAGGAGGGAGACGCCCTGCGGCCCAGAGTGGCCCCGCCCCCGCCCCGTCTGGGGGGCGGGGCCGTCTGGGGGGCGGGGCCGTCTGGGGGCGGGGCCTGCTCAGGAGAAGGGGAGGGTGGTGCTCAGGCCCCAGCAAGGCTCTGCTGGAGGTGGATGAAGGTGAAGAGGATGAAGCACCAGCCCTTCCCGTTCCTGTTCTAAATAAATACTTAGTTTTAGGGGGAAAAAAGGCACAGGGCTGCAAGAAATGCCCGTGCTGTCCAGCTTCCACACCTGTGCGATGGGGAGGGACGAGGACCTCCGGGCCGCGCGGCTGCTGAAGGTCGTTACACAGCGGCATGTTCCAGAGTGAGCGTTGAGGGTGCGCCTGTTTTGAAACGAGGGCTCCGCAGCCCTGGCAGTATTGACATTTGGGGCTGGATACGTCTCTGCTGCGAGGGGCTGTGGTGCTTGGCAGCAGCTCTGTGGCGTGGGTGGGGGATTACGTCCCACAAAAAGACAGGGTTGCTTCCTGACCCTTGGTGTCCGAAAGTGACCCGGTTGGAGAGCCGGGTCTTTGCAGATGTATCCAAGGTAACGGGAGGCCGCGCTCGATCAGGACAGGCCGTGGGCCGCAGGACGGCCGTCTTTAGGAAGGGACGGCGAGGGATGTGGATGCAGAGACCCAGAATCACGGGCCAAAGACGGCCCTGTCAAGATGGAGCTGTCGCTGGCAGTGATGCCGCCCGGAGCCCAAGGACGCGGAGCGGGGCGGGGCCGGGAGCAGACTTGACCGGAGGCTTCGGCACGTGGCCCTGCGCCCGGATGAAAGGCTCCGGCCTCCAGAACCGCGAGAGGGACACACTTCAGTGGTTTTAAGCCACCAGACGGGTGGTCACTTGTTACGGGAGCTCTAGGAAACGAATGTGATGGGATAGAAACAGTGTCCTCCCCTAAGTTTGACAACCTAGAGTGGTCTCCAGACATTGCACAATGTCCCAGGCAGATGTGGGGGAGGGAAGGGCAAATTCCACCCCCCTCTCCTGCAACCCCGTGGGGACACACTGAACAAAATCTAAGTCTTATCGAAGAATGACCTAGAGGCTGAAACAATGTAGACCCCTACTGTCTATAGAAAGAGCAGAAATCCTAGTCAAACTTTCGGGTTTTTATTTTTAAAGAGTTGCATTTGGCATTCATTTCACTGTTAAAATATCCTAATGATCTATGCAGGGGTAGTTTGAAACATAAAAGTTTCCACGCTGTCCTTGAAAATATATTTTATTTTGAAAATCCTATTTTAGGAAAAGATCAACTTATATTCCTGTATGAACAAGTTTTAAAACTACTTGTACGAGGCTGTGTAAAAGTGCGCATGGCTCTTGTCATTAGGCTTTTTAATGGTTATTTTTTTAACTAGTCTAAAAATGACCCTCTTACCCAATAGTTCCCATATTATGTAAAAATAAAACCACCCCACGAATTCCTCATCTGAACTGTTTTCTAACCCTGTGAGTCTGACTGACAATGTCCCCATCAGGAGGCTATTTTCATGACAAACTCTCTGTGGAGTTTAGTGTCTGGGAACCCGCCTCTGTCTGCCACTGCGGTTACAGACAGGGGAAAGGAATACTGTATTCCCAGACCCCAGAGGCAGAACTCTAAACACAGTTTATAAGCAATATTGGCAATTAGATATTTTAATGCTATAGTTCACCCACATCATGGCTTAAATGGCCTTTACAACTTGGCTTGGTGATATATAGTTGCTTCCATGTGAAAGTGTATTTTGATTTCCAAAAGTCAATCAAATAAACGGTGTTATAAATAGTATAAATGACCTATTTTTAAGTTATAGTGTTTCTGTGATTGGGTTGCACATTTATATGCAACCCAAATATCAAAATATCAAATATGCTAAACATCAAAATGCTGAAATGAAGATTTACTTAAATACTTTGAATCATTCATATAGCTAGCAATCCATACATTATGTGAGTGAGACAATGAAGTAATGAAATTTATCCAAATAATAGCTTTTTCTTACATTTTTCTCTAAGTGAAGTCTAGACCCTTCCATGATTTAAAAATACAGTCAACCCTCAGTTCTTGAACGTCTTGATTCTCAAACAACAATTCAGTCCTTGACCAAGTTGTTCATGGAAAATATGTCTCGGTTGTCGAACAAAACTTTGGGTCTCAATTCTCTACCTGAAAACTCTTTCATGCTGAACCCTGTGTTATCAGTCATGCGTCGATCAAGTGGCAGACAAAGAGGATTCAGTTTTGGAACATATCTCTCCTTGAACGGTTTTCTACAAAGAATTAAGTTTGAGAACTGAGGTTCCTGTGTATAAGAAAGAAATTGGGGGGAGGGATTAGAGAAAATACTTGCTCTTTAACAGGTACAGTTGAACTTATTTTCTGACTTAAATAAAAGCAATTTTCTAGTCTTACTCATCTTCTTTCTTTCCTTCCCAATTTTCTTCAGTTTAATGGGGCCCCAAAATTAAATATGCAAAAATGTCACCTTAATATCTAAAGTAGAAATTACAGCATGTTCGTTTCATTGGAAAATGCCAATAGCATACATAGTAAGTCCCTCCAGCAATGATCATTTTTAAAATGCAGTGTGGGAAGGATCCTTAACGGGGTATCATTTTGCCATTTCCAATGAAATATTGAACAGGTGAGAATGAGGGTGTTACTCAGTCCTGTGATGCAGCACCCTCATGCCTCATCTCCCCACAGAGGGAGAAAAACACATCTGTTACTCTCTGGGACAACTCTCAGGTGTTAGCCCTGTCTGTCCGCGGTGTTGCCGCTGCCCATGAAAGCCCGCCACGTGGAAACCTCCCGCCACGACCGAGCCGTGGGAGGCGCTAACCCGAGGAGGGCGTGTGTGGTCTTGCCCTGCCGCTCAGTTTTATACAGCTTTCCTCCCCCTCCCTGCTTTCTCCACGGAGTGAAACTTCACGCAACAAGTCAGCGACAGAACGCAGATTAGGATCCAGAGTTCCTGGCTCTCCCTTTTGTATTTCTTTTTATGACTCAGGCTAATCCTTTCAGAGAGGTTTTTAATCCACGTCTGCCAGAATTCCCAGCCAATTTCTTTCAAATACCAGTGTCTGCTGACTCAGGCTCCTGGCAACTAAAAGCATTAAGGTTTATATTCTCACTGTTTTTGATTAAAAAAATACCTTGGCTGAACAAAGAATGTCTCACGTTCACTATCCTAGCACCTTCTGTAGCATGTCCTGCTTTTGCACAGTGGGATCTCTGTATCAATTCCTTCTTAAAGGGACTCATCCCTGGGCAAAAATCACAACAGCTACACATGTTCTTTTGCACTCGGGGCTGCTTCTGTGGTATCCGGAGCCCGGCCAGTATGAACACTTTAAAGGGCATATGAAGTTAGGACGCAGGCGGTGGCTGACTCTTACAGGTTCGACTGGACTTTTACTATAGGATCTGGCGATCAGGAGTGGTCACAACAGCCAGGCTATTCTGGAACTACACACACTTCCCTACTCTTGAAACTTGGTTTTTCTTTTTCCTTTGTATTCTTTCAACTTCTATTTGCTTAGGTTTCGCCCAGTCGAAGCCTAGAGTCCTCTCCCCGCTTGTTCTAACCAGAACCTTGGAGAGCACGTCCCTCCAGGTCATGGTGGACCACAGCCTCAGAGCTCACGTCCCCCCATTCCCTCTCTCTCCCCTCCTCCTCTGGGGTCCCTCAATGGTGTCGGTCAGGCCTCACACTCTGTTGCTCAGCGCCAACCTGTGTAACACGGGAAGGCTTGGGGCAGTCGGTGCTGAGCGCGGGTGCTGCTCGAAAATTCTGATGACTCTCAGTCACTCCCTGGGGGCCTAACCTGTGTCTGTGATTCCCGAAGCCCCCAGGGACCGGCCGACGTCAGCCTCATCCTCCTCAGCAGCATCGAGAGAGGGGTCAGAATAAGAGAGAGCGTTTCTCTCGGCTTCTGTGACTTCTTGTTGCTGACAGGGTGGCTGACACTAATAAAGGCCTGCGGCTGCTTCAGGGACCGGCGGTGTGGGGAGGGCCGGTGCATTCCGTCGGGCAGGAGGCCGGGCTGAGAGAAGTCCCCGGCAAGGAAGCCGAGATCTCAGATCTTCCGTCGGTCAAGTTTCACTGACCCGAGGCCACAGGAGAACGGCTCCTTCCGTCCGCCTCCCGCCCCCAGCCTCTGCCTTGGCCTTCCCGACACTGTGTCTTAATTGTAACCTCTCAGTGAACTATGCCCAAGAGGAAAAAAAAGGATTTTTATTAGGAAAAGATACAGCCTTTCTGGCAGTGTGTGTGCCCTTGTGTGCATGTGGGTGGGAGAGACAGAGGGAATAAATGGACATGAAATGTGGGTGAAGGAAAGGTTTTGCATTTCTTAGAGCCCACAAGACACTCTGGGCACATTCCCCTGTGTGGTCACTGCCGGGCATAGCGTGATTTGGGTCTTTAATTTGCTAAAGGATTGCTTGCCGGAGTGTGTGACCTACGGCCCCTGGGCCACCTGCAGCCCAGGGTGGCTGTGAATGGGGCCCAACACAAAATCGTAAATTTAGTTAAAATATTATGAGATGTTTTTGTGATGACATGTTGCAAGGTATTTAATGTGTGGCCCAAGGCAACTCTTCTTCAAATGCCAAAAGGTTGGACACGCCTGCAAGTTTATGGGAACATGCGTTCCACCTTCCCAAGCGGCAGCGAAAGGGATGGAGCCTTTGGAACACAACTGATTGGAGAGTTAGGTTTGGCTCCCTAGATTTCCTTGATTAGGCAACATTGTAAACATCATGTGTAAGCTAGAGGGACACAAGCAAGCTCTAACTTTGATAACAGTTTTCACACAAAGAAGAGGAAATAACTGGAAATAACTTTTGGGTGAAGTAGAAAGAAATGCAGCAAAAAAGGCCAGGATTAATTTACACTGAATGAAATTTAAGGAACGCAGCCCAGTTGACAAGAACAAGCCTTTATTTTTCTTTGACTTGTTTGCTAGAGTTGGAGTAGTTTTTAGGGGAGGTAAGGTCCGGGGCCCTCAAGTCAAAGAAATAGTAGCTGGTGCAGGGAAGCGGAGTTCTGAGGCGGTGAGCAAGGCAGGGAGGCAACACCTGTTTCCTTGATCCAGGTTTTCAGCAGACGCTGTAAGGGACAGAGGGGAACACAGTCCTGTGGCCGCAGCTGGACAAGGAAGAGCAACGCGGGCTCTCACTGTGTGTCCCGCCACCTCCCCTGGCCTCGGCGCCCAGGCCACACTGCGCCTTTTAACGCCCCTGACGTTGGTCAGCCAGCCCTCCTCTCCTCTCACCTCTCCGCCCGCCTTGCCTTTCTTTTTCCGCCGCTCTCATCTAAGCCCTCAATGTCTACACTCACATTTTATAGAGAGATTACAAATGGTAGGATAAGAAAAGGAAAGTTTTTTGTAAAGCCACTTGATGTAAATCAATAGGGATTTTTCAGCCAAAAAAAAAAAAAAAAAGAACATAGAAACGATTGGACATTTGGTCACACTTAATGCCTGATATGTTTCTGAATATCCGTGGTACATACAAGACCCAGTGAATCAGAGCTTCCTGAAAACATTATTTTTCATTAATAGTATATAACCTTTTAGCTGTTGTAAACTAGGCTTTAGAGTCTTGATGAGAATATAGAATCACATGTCATTTCTTTTCACAGCTGCACCATTTACAAGTCTTCCTGTTCGAGAAGAAAGGCTGGCAAGATACTACAACCTTTCCTTGGAGAGTCATAACATATCACTGACCGGTCTGACGGGTAACTATCATATTTCAAATCATACAATGCCAAATAAGTTGTTATTTTTAATTAATCCCTGATCACGGTCTGGTGGGAGGAACACACCAGTCCCAGATACGATTGCAGTGTCTGTCCAGCATATATGGTGCCTTACACTATTGACGATAGAGTATAGAATGCGAGTCTAATGCCGTGCGGACGGTGTGCTCTGTGCAGGCAGGAGGCAGCCAGTCCAGACCGGGAAGGCTGAGACCGGTTCTAGAGGGAAGGGATGCTTTTCTCACTCCGTGGGAGGAGAAGAGGGTTCACGGTGATTTGCGGATACTCCTATTTTTCATCAGTTCTCACGGGTATATCCACTCAGATCACTGTGCATTAACAGAAGTCTTGTGTCCAGTGAAAGACCTTCAGGCAGGTCACTGAAAGCTGCCGTGGGTGAGTCAATGATAGCATCAGTTCTGCGCTGACACGCAGCTCCGCGGCCTCCTTGCCTGGCTTTGGATGCCAGTGTTTTAAAAATTGTCGCGGAGTTCTTTAACCAAGTGGGAGTAGTTCCCTGTTTCAGTAACAGTGTTAAAGGTTTGATAAGCATTTAAAATACTTTAAACCTGCTTGTTGTGTCAATAACAACTTTCATCTGATTATATGTCCAGTCTTTGTCCTCTGGTGTGAAGAACTGTTTCCGTAGTTCTGCTGAACATGAATAGAAAGTGGGCTTTTCCCTCCCCAAGCGGATTCCAATGGGATGTCTGCTCTGAGCTTTTTTTGGTAGAGTGTTTTTATGACATTGTACAACTTCTGTCCATCTGCAAATATCCCCATTCCAATATTTACAATTTATTCGTACTTGTAGAAAGTAATTACCACACTCCTGTTACTTGCTTTTTTACTTTTTGCACGTTGAGAGAGATTCATGTGAAAAGGTTTGCATGTTCTTTGAGCAGGGACAGCCCGGGATTTGAACAGCCCGGGAATGTTGGCAATGTCCCGTCCTTGTCTACCCCGTCCAGCTGGCTCCTGGGGAAGGAAGGTGCCCATGGCGAGAGCAAGATCAGCCTTTTAGGTGGATGTGAGGCTGTTTTTTCGCTCATCTAAACTGTTAGCAGGGTTTAACTCCTGACCACACTTTCATTCTGCTATTGAAACCAGCATTCTCATTGTTATGAAGAGATTAAGTGTTCAGCCCTGGCCGGTGTGGCTCAGTGGATTGAGCGCAGGCATGCAAACCAAAGGGTCACTGGTTCGATTCTCAGTCAGGGCACATGCCTGGGTTGTGGGCCAGGTCCCCAGAAGGGAGCGCACGAGAGGCAACCATTCCTTGATGTTTCTTTCCCCCTCTGTCTCCCTCCCTTTCCCTCTCTAAAAGTAAGTAAAAAAAATATTTTTTTTAAAAAGAGAGAGATTAAGTGTTCACAATTCATTGCTTCGGTACCTTCACCTTGGCCTGACACTCTTTAGTCAGGCCGTTTTCTCTCCCACTCGGGCCCTGAACTTCGGCTCACCCCACGTTGGAGCAGTCGCGGTGCGCATGGCACAGCGCGGTCACACTGTCTGCCTGGTCTCCTCTCCCAGGTTCCGTGCGAGCCGGCTTTCCCCGCCCTGGAAAAGAAAGGCCTGTTTCTGTTTGACTCTGAGATGCTTGCCGATCCAAAGTTTAGGCCATTTTCTCCATGGCAATAGACTTTTTGAATCAAATTTTCCTTTAAATCCAGATTTGCTTTTGTTTGACAGAAGAAAAGATATAATTTCTTCTGTCATGTATTTGGCCATGTATTTGGAAACATTGGCTCTCTGAGCTCTGATGTGGATGGTTACGGTTACTGCAGTTTGTTGCTCTGGCTACCTTCTTATCAGAGAGTTTGGTTCTAGGAACTGCCTTTACTGAAATACAGAATTTAAACCTGAAGATGTATTTATGTTTATTAGGAACCGTAATTGACTATAGAGTATAGAATGCGAGGGAAACCCATGTTTATAACTAGGGTTTTTAACTCACTTTATACATGGAATGATTTCGTATTGTTATAGCATTATTTATTCGATTTGTACCAATATTGATTATATCATTACTCAAGTTTGTCTGTGAATGGTGCTGACAACAGTTATTTTTAATATTATTTTCTCATTCCCTCTGGCCAGTTGATCTCTCTTTTAGGATAAAATGTTTCTTGTAGAGAAAGTCAAGTGTAATACATTAGTTGCAAATTCTGTACCAACATGATAACATTGGCCCAGTTCTCACCATACTGAACTTACCAGAGGAGCTTCACACTGGGAAATACAGCCCAAGGAGCGCCTGGGAGAATGAAAGGCCTGGACTTTGATTTGTGAAAGCCTGGTTGGTTATTATTTTATGTTTTTAAACTTTTACTAATCATTTACTTTTTAAAAAGACTTTATTTATTTATTTTTAGGGAGAGGGGAAGGGAGGGAGAAAGAGAAGGAGAGAAACATTAATATGTGGTTGCCTATCTCATGCCCCCTACTGGAGACCTGGTCCACCACCCAGGCATGTGCCCTGACTGGGAATCGAACCAGCAACGTTTTGGTTTGCAGGCCGGCACTCAATCCACTGAGCCACACCACTCAGGGCAACTCATTTTTTACTTAATAAGAACATGGTGTTGACTATGTACCATGCACAGTCATGCATTGCTTAAAGTCCAGGATACGTTCTGAGAAGTGTGTCATTTGACAGTTTCGTTATTGCCCAAGAGCGCACTCACACAAACACCCAGACAGCATGGCCTAGTCTCCGCCAGGCTGTCTGGTATACCGCCCTCGTGCCTGCAGGCAGTCGGTCACTCACTGCCCCGGAAGTCATCATGCAGCGTGTGACTGCACATATTCCTACCTACAAGTTAATTTAATCCCCTAACAGCCCTATGCAGTGGGTATTATTATTACTTGTAATCTGCAGATGAGGGAAAGGAGGCATAAAGGAGGACGTGAACTGACCAAGGTCACAGGGGTGAGTCAGGGCTCAGCCTCGAACCCAGGTGGTCTGGCACCAGAAGCCATGCCCTTTCCCGGGATCCCACGCTGCTTTTCTGTCTGCTCAATTACAGCATCTTCCACTAGCATCACTGAATTACTGGTACCTACTTTAGGTAAGAAGCTTTAAAAAGCAATGAAATCAAAGCTATTTTAACTGTCTTGTTTCTAAATAGGTTTGTGTTAGAAACTGCATTCGCTGAGATAATATTATAAAGGTATGACTGACGTAAGAATAAATTTTTTTCTTTCTGATATCGCTGTATTTTTAAAACTATCTTTCGATAATGGACTATTTTTACATTGCTGTACTAACTTTCCCATTGTCAATACTTGGAATTCAGTTTGTTTACAGCAATTGGAGTGTTTCTTTACTGTTGCTTCTATTTTCCCCTCTGCCTCTGCATATTGCAGTGTTTGGTATCTCAGTCAATGTGTTATAGTTTAGCTAGAGGTTAAAATCAAAGCACAGGCCACAGGCTTCTTGCCCACTCCGGTAACATTGGTGTAGGTCCTCCCGTGGCGCATTTTATTCACCGTGTTGAGACGTGAGCAGCTGGCGTGACATGGTTCTTGGTGTGGGACAGATGGAAGGAGACAGCGCTATCTTTGGAGGTACAGGTGGGTATATTAAGATACAGAGTAAAATTTGAAAAGATTAGTCAAGGTCAGGAAAGGTAGCCGTGTAACTGCCCCCTGTCCCTGCAACGTGGAAAGACACGTGATTTAACAATCCCATGGTGGTTAATATTGAATAAAGAAGCTTGCTACGAAGCCCGCTGCGGTGCTGAGCAACAGGCGTGGGCCTCCCAGCGTGAGTGGGACCGGGAACCTGAGGGTTGTGTTCCCACCTTTGTCCTTCCCTTCTGCTGATGTTCACATCCTCCCAGTCTTTCAAAATTAAGTCAAAAACCACATCTTCAGGAAAGTACATATCGGTAAGTACTGTTTCTGTTTCTCTGATATGTATTTAGCATATTTTATTTCAATTACATAAGTAATAATGAGTTCATTTAAAAATATTAAAACATGATCTTATTTCCAGCAATATAGTAACTCAAGGAATCTGAACAGCTCCTGTCCCAGTGAGGGAATATAACATGTAAAATAAAGCAAGCACTCTTTCAAATACAGAGCTAAGTACACAAAGAAGTCAAGACAATTTCCACAAACTGAAACTGGGAACCAAGACATTAAACCTCTGGACCGATGTCAGGTTGGATTCCCTTGAGTTTGTGTCCAGGGCAGTTGAGGTTTTAAGAGCCACAGGCGTAAGAACAAAGCCTTGAACCTAGGCCAGGAGGTGAGCTGGAACTGCAACCCCACAGAAGCTGATCCTTCCTCGGATATAAACACGGTGTGAGAGGTTTGGCATAAGGGGGAAAATTAGCTGACCACCCCAAGGGGTGAGCATTTGGAGTCTGGGCTTTAGTCTTCTACTGCATCACACACAAAACCCGCCTTGAGTAGTCAAAGGCAAAGACCTGCTCTCAGTGAGGTGTGGATCACACATGTGCACTACCTGCACGAGGCAGGAGCTTCCAAGCTGGTAACACAGCAATGGGCCCAAGGACGTGGTGCTCCTGCAGGAAAGCAAATGAAAAATGTCTGTGGAGACATGGGTCGTCCACCCAGGCTATGCCATCCTGCTGAGGGCCAGCTTGCCAGAGAAGCAGAAGGAGCCATGAAGCATCCTGATGCCGAGAGTGAGTCAAGGAGCCGTAGGAATCACGAGTCCAGAACTTCAGATGTAGAAATACTAGGTAGGGACATAAAGGAAGAAATAGGAAAACATGAGAAAATAATATTCTACTATCCAAAAAAAAATAAATAAATAAAGGACAACACATGTTTGAAAAAATAGCCAAACAGAACATCTGCCGATAAAAACCAAACATCACAGAAAGTCAAAGCCTCTGTTAACACCCACTGCTTCTGTCTCCGCTCCCTTTCCCTCTCTTCAGTGTGGGTGTGTGTGTATGCAGGTATCCTTGGAAACTGTAGAGCACCACACAGTATTGTTT